GCATGTTTTGCTAGGAAATTGTTTTGCTGTCTTGCTATGACTTGGTATTCCCTATAATACAGAGAGGATATATATATATATATATATATATATATATATATATATATATATGTAGAAATTCACACATGGGTCTTTTTTTTCTTCTTCTTTTTAATTATTTACGGGAACAGATTATATAATGCAAGATGTAATGAACAGATACTCTGAGGAAGAGACGCTAAGAAACCCGAGGCTAATTTTGTAGCATTATGATAGAAATTTTAGCAATACTATTGTTCACTGATTAGAATGACATTGGACTGGTTTCTTGAGTTCAATTTCAGCATATGTAGAGATGGGGATGGCTATCACAAAGAGAATGAGAGATGCGATGGTAGTTACTATTGTCTTCCCTAATTTGGAACTTGAGGACCTAAAAAGCCTCCAATGATTTGATTAGTTCTATAATATGCAATAAGTATATAAGGTGGGTGAAGATGGGGACAACTATTTGTAAGAAACTAGAAACAATTAGATAGACAATGAAGATCTCCAATGGGCTTGCTGCGAAATCTGTATTTCTTTAAATTGTTTTTTTAACTGCTTTGTTCTGTTTTGATATGTTTAATCTTACCCTCTTTGAGATGTAAAACAAATGTGTAGGACTGATAACCGTATTACTGAGCTCTTGTTCGATCATAGAGCAGAAGGGTTTGTAGTGTCACTTTATGAATATCATTCTAAATACTTTAATTCTATAACATGAACAGCTATTTCTAAGGTGACAATGTGTAACTTATCAACCAGCAATTTCTTACCGTTTGTTTTTCTGTAAGTTTGTATTATTTCTACCCTTTTTTATCTCCATGTATTCTTTTGTTTCCTTTTCTTTAAATAAAAAAAAAAAAAGAGGGCGAGTTTCTTCTCTGCCGGGGGAGTGGAGCAGGCAGAGAGAGTGAGGACGGTGAGCAGAAGCAGCAGTGCACACCTCCTCCGTCTCCGCCTCCGGGAGCCCGCAGCAGGAGCAGGCTGAGCAGACTCTGGGCTCCTCACTTCCCCGATGCATTTTGTAAAGAAACTGTGTCTGAGCACCAAGTCCCAGTCAGTGTCACCAAGAACATCCCTTCCCCTGGGGACGTTGACAGTGTAACATCAGGCAAAACCCTGGAGGGTCCAGACAGACCAAGACTGTCTCTAACCCGCTGGGTCTCTTTCATGTGTCAGGAGACGAGGAAGAAGACCAGGACACTGCAGAGAGGTTGGACGGGACTGTCAGAACCTCTGGGCCCAAGATGCCAGTGGGGACAGCGTCGGAAACACAGCTTGCCAGGAGAGTGACCAAGGGAAAGAGCAGCCGGCGGATGCTGTCCAACAAGCCACAGGACTTCCAGGTACAAACTGCCGGGCTCCGCGTCCTGCCCAGTGGCCACAGTATCCCCTGCTCTTCTGGGCGGCAGCTCTTCTCGGAGAAAGGGATGTTAGGAAATGTACTCCACGAAAGACCTCCTGGTTTTTCCTTCTGCATGTGGGAGTAGGTCTGGTTAGAGGAGGTCCCTCCTGGGAGTAAAACTAGAATCTCCCTTCCCTTTGGGATAATGAAAAAATAGAATCACGGGTTTTCCGGCACGCCTTGGACTTGGGAGGCAGCCCTGCAGTGAGTATGTGATCAGGGCTCATGAAGCCCAGGGCAAGGACAGGGGGTAGATCAGTGACTGCAGCCCTGTCCTTTCCTGGGCCAGCTCTGAACTATTCACCCCTTTAGCTGCTCCAGGAAGCTTGGTGCCCATCTTAGGAATGACCCTGCCTTGAGCGCCAGCCCGCTACGCAGCAGCCTCAGCCCAGTTTCAGACATCTTTACACGCCACAGAACTGAAGTGACACTGAGGACACCTTGACACCCTCATGCTGGGAAGGGTCAGTAACAACACCCCCTTTGCACTTACAGATCCGTGTCAGGGTGATTGAGGGCCGACAGTTAAGTGGCAACAACATAAAGCCTGTGGTCAAGGTCCACGTCTGTGGCCAGACACACCGAACAAGAATCAAGAGAGGGAACAACCCATTTTTTGATGAGGTAAGGATTGTTCATAGGGACTCTCAGCTCCTGCCACCTCTGCCTTTCTTTTTGAGACAGTGTTGCTATGCAGTTCAGGCTGACCTTGGACTGACTTTGTAACCTAGTCTAGTCTTGAACTTGCAATGATCCTCCTGCCTCAGCCTCCTAAGTGCTAGGATTATAGGAGTGTGTCACATGCCCAGCCTTTCTGTGAGCAACCAACTGGTAAGGACAAGACAATGCAGAGTTTCAGCATTAAACATGAAACATAGGAGTTCAGAACCACTGGCCTTGAGTCACCTGGTTGGCTTTGCATTGGTTCTCAGAGGGGTCTATGTCCTTCTGCTGTTTCCACGGCAACTTCTTCACGGTCCTCTTCACACCAGTGACAGAGCACATGTCACCAGCAGCTACAGTGCTTTAGTTACAGAACGTCTCCAGTGCATGACCCTGCATGGCCATGTAATTCATTTTTAAGAGGTGTGAGAATGACTTGCTATTAAAAAGTATGTTAAAGGAAAGCAATTTTGAGTAAACAGGGCTTTTCCCCCATCCTGAGGATGCTGCCTGGTTGTGTTGGCCTCCTCTGTGACACTCCTCAAACATACCTTGACAGTTCTCACCCCGTCACAAAGCTGTGCATGGGCACGCAGGAGCGTACGCCCGGGGACTGCTCCGGGTCTGGCCTCTCTCTGCCCGGGCACACTTCTGCGATCCCCGGGCCTGGATCCTGTGCTGTGTTCTCGGAGTCCACAGTCTCTCTTCCCTCCTTATAGCTGTTAATTCCAGCCCCTTTTTGGTCATTTGTTTTGTTCCTTCACTCACAAAAGAAACCGGTTTCTTCTGTGCTCCTGCTTCTTGTCCTCTGTAGGCTTTGCCGGTGGCCCTGTTCTTTATTTCTTCACTTCCTTATTTATTTTTTTGAGACCGGTCTCACTGTGCAGTTCAGGCTGGCCTTGAACTCACTTTGTACCAGTTTGCATGAATTATCCTTCCTCAGTCTCCTCCTCCGTCCCGTTGACTTCTCACCTCTACTTCACCTTACACGGAGTCACAGGCAATGGGGACACGCCCAAGAGGCTGGAGCTGCTGAGATGGGGCACCTGAGGGGCTCTGGGGGACTGCCCAGTCACCTGGAGCAGGCTGTCAGATGACTCGCCCTGAGGCCTGACAGCTGTCCAGCTGTCCGAGAACAGTTACAACGCAGGCTCCGTGGTCACTCTGGGGAGCAAAGCAAGAATCTCCTTCTTCAGAATTGTCATTTTAATGAATTGTTTTGAGATTATATCACTTAGCAAACAGAGAAACCAAATTATTGAACTTCTAAACAGACGAATTCATAAATCACTAAAAGAAGATTGCTAAAAATCTCCTAGTTTATATTCATCTTCTTCGCCAAGGGGTTGAACTTGCTGTCACTGAGAGTGGTGCACAGTGAGGAGGGCGTGTGGATGTGACACCTGGGAAGTCACTGCTGTCACATGGCTAAGCTGCATCAGTGAAGAGGCATTCACGTGGATCCAGAGTGTGTGTGTTTCACAGAACAACTAGTTCCTGCAGGAAAATCAAGACACAAGCCAAAGAAAAAGTCAGTAGTACTATTCTAGATAAAGGGAAATGCACAGTATTAGTTTTCTGGCACGACAGAGAAGCAAAAAGTACCAAACGAAAAGAACTGGTTTATTGAGGATGCGGAAAGGAGCACAGCCTGTGGCGGCCAGGCGGTCTCCTTTGACCAGATACAGACAAGCAGAGGGTTATGTGGCCCCTGATCCAAGTGGCACGTGGGGCAGACGTTGATGATGCGAGAGGAGCTGACTGGAATTTTCTGTGCCTGCAAACAGAAAGGGGAGCTGCAAATAGGGCTGGAGAAGAAGCAGGAAGTGGTGGGGTTCCCGCGCTGGCCCTCCGGCACGTTAGACCAGCACCATAACCCAACAGTAATTTATGCTAGGGCAAGAACCTTTCACAGAGATGTAACAACTAAATGCTGTATGACTCCTCCATGAATCCGAGACTTTTTTTCCAAAAAGAATGCTAAAGAGCTTTTTTCAGGAAGCAGGAAGTAATGGAGAAATTTAAAAAATGACTACATATATAGATGTTAAGATTCTTCAGTATGATGACGGTCTTGTGATTATGTAGGAGATGTCCTTGACCTTAGGTGATACATGCAAATGTATTTTGAAAAGGTGAACTCTGTGATACTCAGAATTGTTTTGAAGTAGTTTAGTTGAAAAGAGAAAGCTGAAGCAAATGTCTCAAAATGGTAACAATTGATAAACACAGGTAAAAAAGACAGTGTTTAGTCTACCATTGTCACCATTTGCCTGTAGGTTTGAAATATCCCTAAGAGTTTGGAGTAAAGTGTTTTTGTTTGAATAAGTGCTTTTCTTTGAGAATTCACATTTATTGGACATGCTGCTACCTCTATATACCTGATACTGATCTCCCAGTAATCAACTTTCTTAAACTTAGCTCTTGTTATATGTTAAAACTGACTCTGAAAGACATTAATATACTCTAATGGACAAAATTTTCCTTTAGGCTGTTTTGTTAGAGAAAGTAAAATCGAAGTCACTAGACAAGATGCTAGAGCTAAAGATGTTAGTGAATTACATGGATGCTTGGTCACATCAGCCCTAAGGACCCACTTGAGTAGGAGTGGCCACGTGAGTGCCAGGGATGTAGCCCAGCAGCATAAACCTGCCTGGCAGCACAAGGCCCTGCGGTCAATTCCCCGTACAAACAAAAGAAGCGGCAACATGAAATGACCCCAGATCTTTACTTCATTTAGTTAACAAATGTCTACTCCCCAAAACCTTTATTTAGTTAAGTAAATGCAATATTTATTACTTTTCTCTAGTGGCTTTCTCATGAAGTTTAGGGGGTATTCACACCACTGAATCAAACCTGTTTTGAATCTATTTCGTACTTTTTTATTTTGAGACAAGGACTCACTGTGTAGTTCATTTTATTTATTTATTTATTTTTGGAATTTAAGAATTTATCTGTTGTGGAGTGTATGTATTATAAATATATGATTCAAAAACATTTCTATGCTTAATTCTAAATCATAAAATTCACAACTCTAACACAGATTCCCACTAGCCCGGAAGCCCTGCTAATGTTTAAACGTGTTCTTCACTGTCTTACAGCTGTTTTTCTACAACGTTCACATGACCCCTTCTGAACTGATGGATGAGATCATCAGCATCCGGGTACGGGGGGGGGTAGGAGGGGAGGGCTCCCCCCCCCCGCCAAGGTGGCTGGCCTTCACCATTCTTCTCTCTCTCAGGTTTACAATTCCCATTCTTTGAGAGCAGACTGTCTAATGGGGGAGTTTAAGGTAGGTGACAACAATCTGCTTCCTTCAATTGACATAAAAATCAGAACTCTCATAATAGAGAAATTGATTCATGCGCAGTCTAGGAGCGCTTGTCTTGGTGACATCTTAGGGTCATGTGGTCTTTGCAGAGGGCTATCTGGTTCCTGTCTTCTTCCAAAATATCACACTAACAGTCCCTCAAAGCAAGGTGCCCTCCAGCTGCTGCTAGCCTGCCCCATGGATAGAAGCCCGCTTATTCCTTCAAAGGGCAGGGGTGCCTCATTGGTGAGAAACCATCACTCAGCTGCATTTAACCACGGCCCCAGAGCTCCTCCCATAAAACCAATTGCTGTAAATTTGGAACGTGAAAGGAAAGCCGAGGAGGTAAAGCAGTCAGTCTGGTTTTCTAAGAAACTTACACTGGAAGTAACAGACAGATAGACTTGGTTGGCTGCTCAGCAGCTCTCCAGGGAATGGGCAGCTGCTTCTTGAAGGAAGAAACTTCAGTCAGTGAAAGTCCTGAAGGATGATCCCGGTCACGTAGACCTGTGTGTGTAAACATCCAGCCCAGCACCTGGCACATGAAGGTGCCTGATTGATGGTGACAGTAATATTAGCATTAGTAGTGATTGGAGGAGGAGGATTGTTGGGTAGGAAGCTGAGCTAGATGAATTTGAGGGTGGTTAATGGTCACAGTTGGCTTTGGACTTTAGTGCCAGAACTGGGAGAGAGTCAAGAAACTGAGACAAGTTGGTCACCTCTACTTTCATGGTCTGTTCTAGCTTTTTTTTTTTTTGTCTTTTTCGTTTTTATCGGTACCGGGGATCGAACTCACGACTGCCTGATTGCAAGGCAGGCGCTTATGCCGCTGAGCTAAATCTCCAGCCCCTCTAGCTTTAAGACTAAATCATTCGTCAGCAGTGATTGACTGGGAGCTGTCTATACCTCATGCATCAGGGAAGGCACAGAAAGAATAAGATGGAAATTCCTATTTAATTGAAGAGATTTAAGTCTAGCCAGGAGCACTGTGTTTAAATGTAATGATGATGCTTTCATTGAAGTGATGGGACTGACTTAAAAACCTACTGAACCTACTGTAAATTGTTTTTCCAGATTGATGTTGGATTTGTTTATGATGAGCCTGGTGAGTAATGTTCACCCCCATCAATTTGAAGTCTGGAGTTCATTCCTCTTATCCTGATTCTAAGAATCCTTCAGGAGGTCAAGGAGTCAAAGTCAAAGGATAAAAAGCTTTTTTCTTGTTGGGGGAGAGTATTTGGTTAAAATGAGTAACAGTAGCTTAGTGTGAATGTCCATTTGACATTTATAAATAAGTAATTTCTGTGTTTTATGACAATAATTTCTACCTTATCAAGAAGAGATTATGAAGTCAATTAGTAAAGATTAGAGCCTTTTGTTTAAGTCACCCTGGGAGGGATGGAGAGAGAAGGAGGATGAGAACAGAGGAGGCTAACACAAGGACTTCTCTGGGGAATCTGGGCTGCCAGTATGAAGCTGCCAGAGACATCTGCTTAGGACAGAGGAAATCGCAGCCCCACCAGCACAGCCGTAGAGTGTCTCTGTCCTGTTGCTTTCTTTGTTTTAGGTCATGCTGTCATGAGAAAGTGGCTTCTTCTCAATGACCCGGAAGATGCTAGCTCCGGTGCTAAAGGTTACATGAAAGTCAGCATGTTTGTCCTGGGAACTGGAGATGAGCCTCCTGTGAGTCCCTGGATTCTGAACTTATTCTTTTCACACACACACAAAAAAAAGGATTAGGGCTTAAGCAACTTGGCACCAATAGTTGTGGAAGGGAGCGTAGCTTTCATCCAGTCAGCCACCCTCAGCCTCCACTTCCTCCGATTCTCAAAAAGGTACCTTTCCACCATCGTAGGTCATCACCCTGACTCACCTGCACCCTGATGTCCACGAGTGAGCAACTCAGAGAACATGTGTGTTTTCATGATTTCTTGCATTATTAGAAAGACTGATTCTATCTGCCAGAGCATGACTTCCTTTCAGAATTCGGTACCATTACTTAAAGGGTTTGTGATTATTGTGGGAATTTGGGCAGTACACTGGGAAAGGGACCAGAGAGAAGTTAAAAGCACATCCACATGTGTTTTCTCTCTGACTCTGTTTTTGTCTCGGCCTCTCTGTTCCCGTTCCCCTGACCATTTAATATTCATGACTACACAAGGACATAGAAACATACGAGCAGTCACTCTGTAGAACAGTTTTGAGGTTGAAGGAAATCCTTAAGCCCCAAACACAGAAAATCCCAGTGGAACAGTTTCAGTTGCTTCATTTTGCAAGTGTCGCTTGGATTTTTTTTAAGTGCTCCTTTGCATGTGTACAATTTTAATCACATGTCTCCAAAAGCCTGAGAAACGGGACCGTGATAATGACAGTGACGATGTGGAAAGTAACCTGCTTCTCCCAGCTGGCATTGCTCTCCGGTGGGTGACCTTCATGCTGAAGATCTACCGGGCTGAGGACATCCCCCAGAGTACGTACGGATTTCGTTTTGCATGAAAATGGTCAGATATCTGCTTGATGTGATGTGTTACAGCCACACTCTGATGCTCCCTGCCATAGGTTTTCTCCTGAAAGGACTGCATGGACTTCTTTTCACTCCTCTTGCCCAATGGAAGCTTCCTGGGCAGGCTCCCAGGGGAAGCCAGTTGGTTGTTGGTTCTTGTTCCTAGCTGAGTACCCGCCTTTGGCCCGTTCTGCTCTATCCTTTCTTCCATCAGCATTCTGTCTTCTCCTTCTAGACAATATGAAAGAGAGGTGAGCAGTTAGAACTTCTAATCATTTTTTGATGCAAATGCAAATGTAAAATTTTATCATCAAATTAGTGTGCTTGCTATTAGACTATTAAAAGTATCCAAGCAAAGGGCACGAAAGTCCTAGCAACTAGAAGTCTAATCTTGCGGTTTTATAATACTCTGTCTTATAACACAGTCTCCACTTCAGCAAGAGGCTGGACACACTTAAGGGGGCGGCTTGGCTGTTCCTTGTAAAGGGACCAGTCTAGCTCCCCCTCCTACCCGCCACTCCCGGGGCCCAGACCGTTCCCCACTTCCCAGGAGGCAACACCCACGCACACACCGAGGCAGTTGGCCACTTTTCTTCAGAAAATGTGTCTCCGTTAAGGCCCTGGAGTGCCTCATACTGGGTTTTGTCAGAAGCACCTTTAATAAAGTAAATTAAGCTTCGTGTTATACTTCGTATGTTGACTTGTTCAATTGACCTCAGTCTATGTTGGAATTCGGTGAAACCGAGAGTCCTATATTTTTAGTGGTTTCTGTGTTTACAACTATGATATTTATGAATATGCCACATTTCATTGAGTTTCTCTGAAAAGTAGGACTGAGCCTATATGATTTTTGGAAAAAGGAGCTGGAGCTGAAGTTCCTTTTTGCAAATCAAAACCATGCTTGAATTTGAGAATTGGCTCTGACTGAATTGGCTTTTAAACTTCTGCTTTTTTCTTCCACAAGTGATCAGTTCTGAGCATGATAACTTATTTGTTTATTTTTAAGGTGCTCCTATTAATTTCAAAACTTTGTAGGGAGAAGACATTTTTTTCTCACTCAAATGGGATAAAAAGAATTTCACCTCCTGTTGCTTGCTGCCCTAGAGAACAATTCTGGTTTTCCTGCTTTATAGGAGACCTCTTTAAATTTTGCTGAATATTTTCCATTCCTCTAAGTGAATCAATTTTCATTTTTGCTTTGTGACATATTACTTTCCAGTGGATGACGCCTTCTCACAGACGGTAAAGGAAATATTTGGTGGCACTGCTGATAAGAAAAATCTTGTGGACCCTTTTGTAGAAGTTTCCTTTGCCGGAAAAAAGGTTGGTAGGTCATCTAAATGCTGGTGCCTCTTGGATTAAATACTTAAAGCACTGTGCTTTCTTTGGAACAGATGTCTGCTTATTCTTCGTTCAAATAGCTCCCTGATGAGCAGGCTGTTCTGTAGGAGCTCATGTTATCAGGATATGATCATGCTAGCTTCTCCGCGGCTTTAAATTAGAGTAAAAAATATACATGACTCAATTAAAAAATTCAGTCTTTTGAAGCATTAGTAGTCAAAACTACCACTGAAGTATTGAGATTACTTCCTAGATTCAAGCATTATCTTAATCTTAGGCAAGCAAATCAGAAACAACCTTGCTAAATATAATAGGATGTGAAACCCCACCCACCCACAGTTTCCAGCTGCCCCTTCCTGGTATGATTCTGCCTGCCTTGCTCCAGGGAGCAGTTGAAATGGAGAGTTGGCCTGGACACCTCAGCCTCAGCTCCTGGGAAAAGCTGGCAGACTCTTGGTGTAGACACTGTGGCCACCACAGAGATGGCCCGAACTGGGAGTTTTATCTCTCAGAATAAGAACATACCCATGGACAGTTGTGTCCACACACAGCCACTCTCCCCCATGTGTTTGGGCCATTGACTTATGAAAGCAGGATTTAACAAACCACACACACTTACTGGATTCTGTTTCCTAGGATGGCCATCAGAGGGGTGATGGAAAAGCTCTCACTTCTGGGGTGAGACCTCTGATTTAAACTCAGGCTTCATCCCACTCCAAGGCAGACATGTTCCTTAACCTCCACGTTGCCATTGCTTAAACTATAAGTGCTAATCTTGTAGAATTTTTGAGGGGATTAATTAACTTGAGAAGAAATTATTGTTAGCCTACTAAGTGCCAGGTACTGCCTTATTTTCTGGAAATGCAGAAATGAGCACGCAGGACAGCCATTGTTTCCTGCAGGTTCATGTGGAGCCTAGAAAAAGAGCCAGATTTAGTTCAGTTTTCTGTCACTGTGACAAAGTACCTGAGATCGGGTTACTTATAAAGAATAAATGTTTATTTAGCTTGTGCCTTTGGAGACTAGGAATTCCAAAAGCATGGCACTGGCATCTACTTGGCATCTGGTGAGGGCCCTCTCACTGCATCCTAACCGGCGTGGGCATCACATGAGGAGACAGAGCAGATGCTAGCTTAAGTGTTCCTTCCTTTTCCAACAATCCCACCACTGCCATCATCTAAGAGGGGTCCCATCCTCTTGACCTCATCTCATCCTAATTACCTCCCAAAGGTCTCACCTCAAAACACAAATAATACATGAGTTTAGGTCTTAAGTTTCCAACACATGAGTTTCTGGGAAACGTATTGAAACCACATGACTGACAATAAACAAAGAAACAAGAAACTGAATAATTTTAGACAGTAATAAGAACTACACTGAAAACAAAGCAGGTGATTGGGATGACTGGTGTGAGGAGGCGTGCTCAGGGAAGTCACCTGGTGGGCCGCCTTTCTGGAAGAGACAGGTAAGCAGAGACCTTGACGTGCAGAGATCTGGGTTACAGAGGCTTCAGGTAAAGAGAAGAGCAGTGGAGGGAAACAAAGCAGAAGCTCACTGGCAGCACAGGAACATCTGTGTGGCTGAGGGAGAAAGAGCAGGAGGACACTAGCAGGCCGGGTCCAGAGGGGAGAGGTCTTCGGTGGGGGACAGGCCCTCTTTGTGATCTTACTGATGATGTTACACAATGCAGGTGGGGATTCCCCAGGAGCAACTGCAGGTGTGGAGGGAGAAATGTTTCAGTATCTGTGTGAAGATAAAGGGATCAGGATTTACTAATGGACTGGGTGGGGAACATCAGGGGCAAGAGGATGCCACACCAACTCTGGTTCTTTGCTCAAGCAATTGTGTAAATGTAGGCAGAAATGCTGGGACAAGAATCGTGGAGATAGGGAGGAAGTTGGTGGGCAGCTCTCCAAAGATGCAATTGGACAGAGGGAGTGGAGGCTTATCAAGCAGTGTGTAATAAGTGCTCAATAAACTTTTAAACTCTTCTTTTATTACCTTAATCTATTATTAGACATCTGCCAATTGGAAACTGATGAAGACATGGGGTTTTTTTTTATAAAAAAACTTTTTGTGCATAGAACAACTAAGATCAATATTAAACTCATGTCATATTGTACTAAATTATACTAAGAAATAAAGCTGAAGGCTCAGTGGTGAGTTCGTAGCAAGTGATGAAGCACACACACTTGCATATTTAGGGCTCTGAGTTCAATCTCCAGCATGAAAGAAAAAAAAAGTAGAGTTTAAATAGGTTACTAAATATATAAACAGTAAGTAAACTGATAAAATCTCTATAGAGTATGCACATATTGTGAACTGTTAGAAATTAGAAATCTGAGCATCTGTAATTTTGCTTTGGTGATATTGCAGGTTTGCACAAATATAATCGAGAAAAATGCAAACCCTGAGTGGAATCAAGTTATCAATCTTCAGATCAAGGTTTGATTTTTTTTTTTCTTTCATAAAAGTCAGCTACTTTAGTACTTACTAATAACTGGAGTGCTTAATAAATAACTGGAGAAATAATTACTGTTTTCTATTTCCTTTTAACAGTTTCCTTCAATGTGTGAAAAAATAAAACTAACTGTATTTGACTGGTGAGTTGAAAATAGAATCTGTCTAGTTGTACTTGAAAGAATTAAACATTTGGGTTTTTTATACATTACTCTTGCTAGTCTCTTACTTTTTAGTTTGCCTTCCACAGGAAGAAATTACTTCATTCCAATAAATCTCTGCTGGAAATAGGGGGTTTCCTAGATGGTGGTGGTGGTGGTGGAAATGGCTTGGATAGCTTGGTTCCATTTTTCATAGCAACAGAAGGGGAAAATTATTTGAAAATGCTCAAAGATAAGAAATCAAGGATTTAAACATCATTAGGCTGTCCAAAATGGACTTGAAAATAGAATTATTTCTCAGAAAAAAATAAAATATTTCAAGAGCAAGTCTTTGTTATTACTAGAAAGAAAAATGGATAAGCCACCCGACTGAAGGTTTCTCCTTAGGACAAAGGCGCTTGACTGGCATGTTAGTACCCTGTTGGTGTTATGGGAAGAGGACATGTTGGGAGAAGAATGGGTCTTATTCTATTTGATGACCATATCATCATTAATTGAGAACTAAAGTGGGGCTACAAGGACAAAATATTCCTTCCTTTAGTGTGAAAAGTTTCAAGGTCGGGAGCTGTAGCTTAGTGGAAGAGTTTTCCTTGTCTAGAATGTGCGAGGTCTTGGGTTTTATTCTCAATACCACAGGAAAAAATTGTGCTAAGGCATGTAAGCACCTCAGGCTGTATATTAACTGTGCTTTAGGGATCTCAGGTCCCTTGGGACTTAGCTTGGACGACGACTCTGAACTATAAATTCTGCAATGGGCTGCATTACCTGTTGTCACTACAAGTGGAGGTTTGCTTTTCTGACCTCACTTCATCTTCTGTCCTCAATGCCGTAGGAGAGATTAGGGTGCACAGAGAGGCTCTGTTTAATGGACAGTGCTTGGAGCGGCACCGTGGCTTGCGTACCTTGCAGTAGTGTAACTGAGGGAAAGCTAAGGGTTCTTTGTAGTCCAGATTCACCTGGATGCAAAGAAAATATCCAAAACTCAGGTGTGTGATTTAATGCCCATAAATAATACTTTTCTTAGGCAAATTGTGTTTAATTAGTCACTCCTTATAATCTAACATAGTATGTTCTAATCTTTTCCCCTAAGCTGAGCCTTTGCTATTTCTCATTGGGTTTTAGGCCTCAGAGTGGGTATGCTACTAGGTAAGAATAACAAAATAAGAGGAATGAAACAGATAGAAAATATTCAATATTCAATCATCAGCACTACACATACACACAAAAAAAGTCATCATAGTCATTAGTATGAACATGGTCAAATAAGATATACGGTGTGGTGCAAAAATACAGTGAATATTTCAATTTACAATACATTTTATTGCTGTAAAAGGATACAATGTTGTTAATGCCTCTCAGAATAATGCCCTCCCTGCAAGGCACGCTCATTCCATCATTATCCTCACTTCCTAATGCGGTTCTGGGAGGAGTTTTTGGGCTTTATTTGCACTTCAGACTGCTTTGACGTCCTGAATTGATTTAAAATACTCACTTGTAACTGTCGTTTTCACTTGAGCAAGAGCCAGAAGTTGTGTAGTGCTGGATCTGATGAAGAAGGTGGATAAGGACACCCCGTGATGTTTCCACACGTCTGCCTTTCTACTGGATGGCAGCCGGCAGCAGCAGTCTGCACGTTTCTGATCGCACCTCCTAAAGATACTCACAGAGGAGGGTCTGCTTCAGAGAGTGGCAGGAATGATAGGTTAAGTGTGCAGAAAACGAGGGAGAGTATTTGGAAGAGGATTAATGATAATGTGCATTTGACTGCAATAATATTTTTCAATTTAAACATTTACTGTATCAT